ATCTGTTTGATTGCGAAAATAAAATTTGGATGAAAAGAAAATGAATTCCAAGGAATTGAATTACCTAGAAATTATTTTTTCGTGAATTGTAAATTATTGTGTTTGATTGATATAATTTTCTACATGAAAAATGTTGAAGTAAAAGTGTTTTTTGGTATTCGTTTGGCTTTATTTTATATGATAATTGTCAATTTAAGGGATATCCACTTCTACCATTGTTTTTAGAATTTATTTAAATTATTGTGTTTGATTGATATAATTTTCCACATGAAAAATGTTGAAGTAAAAGTGTTTTTTTGTATTCGTTTGACTTTGTTTTATATGAAAATTGTCAATTTAAGGGATATCCACTTCTACCATTGTTTTTAGAATTTGTTTCTATTGCCAACCAAAAAAAAAAAAAAGGGAAAAAAAAAAGACAAAAAAATTATCTATATTTTGGTATTCGTTTGACTTTGTTTTACATGAAAATTGTCAATTTCAAAGATATCATCTTTTATAATTGTTCATAGAATTTGTTCCCATTGCCAACAATTAAAAAAAAAACAAAAAGCAAAAAAAAAAGGTGAAAAACCAAAAATCACCTACGCCTAGGAAAATAAAAGGTGGAAAATCACACTTTAAGGTGTTGTACCTAGAAATTCATGAAAAATTAATTTCCTGAAAAATTTTGTCAATCAAATAGGCAAAAAGTAGAAGTTGGAATTTGAATTTCAAGTTCCATGGAAAATTTCGTGCAATTAAATGGGGCCATAGTGATTTTTTTGGAGGATTTTTGGTTAAAAACTAACTTTCAACAAGTCATTAAAATCCTAATGATTTAATGATTTAACCTGCAAAGAAGTAGGATTTTCAATTAAAGAATAAGCATCAAATTGAACCAATAACCTAAACGAAACTTTTTATAAAAATTAGTGATAAGTCTAAAACAAATTAAACTTCGGTGGCCATCAGTAAAATTAACCCTTAAATGGACACAACTTTTAAGGGTACGTTTGGTTTGCCATTTTAAGCCGTTCTCATTGTTGCAAAACAATGAAAATACTTTTGATATTGTATTTCTAAAAATATATTTCCGAAAACAAAGATAAATTTATAACATAAAACTTAAAACACATTTTTGACATTTTTAGATAAAATACTGAAAACATTCAAAAATAGAAAACAATCGTTTGAATAAATTTTATTTAAATAAAATAATTTGTAAAAATATAATACAAAAAATAAAGAAAATATATATTTTTTAAAATCTCAAATCAAAAGTGCTTTTTAATTTTTTTTGTTTTGAAAATTAATTTTTCATAATGACAAACTAAGGGGGTGTTTGGGGGTTATTTTTATGTAAAAATGCACTTTAGAATAGTAATTTGATGGGAATTGTGGTTGAAAAATAAAGAAAATTTTTTGATTGACGTGTAATATTATTTTAATAAAAAATGTGTGATTGAAAAGAAGAGAGAAAAAAATATATTTTAAAAAAAATGGATACCAAACGAGAGATAAATGAGTTTTAACGTTTTTAAAACAATTCTCTAAATAAAAAATTAAATTTAAATACAAGCGACTCCATCTGTCATTTAACATACGAAAACGCCTTGTCGACCTTATGGTCCTTCTCTAACAAGAAACTAACATAGGAAATGGAATCTTGAAATAGCGTTATTATAAAGCAACAACTCTCCTATATAAATTCATCTTTGCCTTGGCTTAGATGTAGAGAGAACCCACCCCAGTCCACCCCCACTACAGCAGCTATGGAGAATTCGATATACTACAAATACATAAACCAGAAAAATGTTTTCTTAATGAACCTACCATCAGATATTTTGGTTGAAATTCTGTCGAGGCTCCCTGCCCGAGCCGTCTTCCGATGCAAATGCGTATGCAAAACCTGGATCAAGATATTTTCCGATAGTAAATTTGTAACCTTACATTTTGCCAAGGCTCGTCCAGGCATCGTCGTCCATCAATCTGAAATGTTCAAGAATTTCATCAAGTTAGTGGAATTTGGAGATGAGATTGATCATCATGATCTTGATGATGATTCTCTTCTGAAATTTGATCTCAAGAGGATTAGTGAATTCTCTGGTGCAAATATAGTTCTTGATGGTTCTGTTAATGGCTTGATATGCTTAAGGGATTCGAATTACGAACACGAAAGCGTTTATGTTTGTAATCCAACTACGCGGGAATATGTTAGGCTCCCGGATCCCGAGGGAGTCGTTCAGTATCCTAGCATGGCCACGTATGGGTTCGGGGTAAGTAGAGTATCTGGTGAATATAAAGTGGTTCAAGTTTTTCACGACCAGGTTCTTGACCCGATTAGGCAAACATGCATAAGAATTCCATGGTCGGAATGTCATGTTTACACCCTCGGAACCGGATCATGGAGAAGCATTAATGAAAATATGTTGAATTTTGCCTATGGTCGTCGTTGTCGTTCTGTTGGGTTATTCTTCAATGGAAATATTCATTGGTTGATAAAAGATTTAGACGATACTCATGAAATGATTTCGTGTTTCGATCTAGAAAACGAAGTGTTTCAACCATTCCCGGCTCCATTTCCAGGCAAGGAGGGGCTTCTTGGGGGTCTTGGAGTTTTACAAGATCGTTTATGTTTATGTGATAATACTTCATATTGTGAAATCAACATCTGGGTTATGAAAGAATATGGCGTAGAGAAATCATGGACTCGACAGTTTGTCATCACTAAAATGACAGAGTTAACAGGGCCAACACTTGAAGTAGTTTATCCATTCAAAATTTTCAAAGATGGGGTGATTATGGTGCTATGGGGGGACTTCTTTATGCTGTACTGTTGCAATAAGAGCAATGTTGGACAAGAAGTCGACCTCGATCAACCACGAGGGCCTAATAAAATCGAGGCGATGCTCCATGTTTCAAGTTTGGTCTCACTCAAGAACTTCGGATTCGAGAATGTTTGTAACTTTTGATTGTGCAGCAAAACAAGGAATAGTGGGTCCCGAATGAGTGAGAGAACCGGAACGAACACACCTCTAGTTTACCAGTTATCGTGTCCACAATAAACACTGTATATGCAAGTACAAAATAGATGTTTGAGTTAGTGACACATGCACAATCATATATAAATATTTATATTCATTCTGTATGCATAAATTATGTACACATTGTGCTGTTATTATAAAGAAATTGAAAGTAGGCATGTTTCATACGTTAACATTATTCAAGAGATGCCACTAATTTTAACAAAAGTGATTTCTCTGTTCATAACAAGGAGTAAAATTATGTCTTCATGCAATGTAACCAGCACATTACACAAAGTTTCATGTTTGGTACACACAACTTGTGTTCGTCGAGGATAAACTGTACAATAAACGAGATTTTTTATTTTTTATTTATTTATTTATTATTATTATTATTATTATTATTATGCCTAATAAAATCGAGGCGATGCTCCATGTTTCAAGTTTGGTCTCACTCAAGAACTTCGGATTCGAGAATGTTTGTAACTTTTGATTGTGCAACAAAACAAGGAGAGAACCGAAACAGACACATCTCTAGTTAACCAGTTATCGTGCCCACAATAAACACTGTATAGACAAGTACGGAATAGATACTCGAGTTAGTGACACGTGCACAATCGTACATAAATATTTATATTCATTCTGTATGCATAAATTATGTACACAGTGTGCTGTTATTATAAAGAAATTGGAAGTAGGCATGTGTCATACGTTAACATTATTCAAGAGATGCCACTGATTTTAACGAAAGTGATCTCTCTGTTCACAATAAAGAGTAAAATTATGTCTTCATGCAAATGTAACCAGCACATTACACAAAGTTTCATGTTTGGTACACGCAACTTGGGTTCGTGTGGCATAAGATAATGCTTTGGACAATAAGAAAGAAAGCATATATCTTCAATAATCAAAATACAAAATGGGAAATTTCTTCATTTCATCTTTTTGTAAAGAGTAGACATTTCAGTGGCATAAAAATACAATGTGGTTCTATCTTTAGAGTTAATACAAGCACAAAAAATTACTTAATATTATTAGAAACTACTGCATACTTATGCTAATCAAGCCTGGGCCGTGGAAAAAATAAATAAATAAATCCCTTTGAAATTCAGTAAAGATACAATCCTCAAACGGCAGATCAACCTAAAGTTCGCGATCAAGAATCTTGGAAGACAACATTTAGAAGATAGCTTTGAGTGACAAGATCGTCCAAGTTCTGTTACGTTACTTGAAATGTTCTTGCCGAATAATTGCCACAAATTCAGGGTGCAATTCATCATTGTCTTTTTGTTTCCATATTTCGCCATTTGCATGGACCCGCCATGATATTTGAGGTAGTGCTGAATAATCTAAAAAATATCAATAGAATTATGGTAGTCAATTTTGACCCACAAAGCATAAAGATATCAGCAACAAAAAGCAACGGGAAAAGGTATTTACCAATAAATCTACCATAAACTGCAAAGAAATAAAATCGAGCGGACAACTTGAAACAGAAAGTGCTCAGTGCTAAGTTCATAAAAATTACGTCATTTGCTATAAGCTAGTTGCAACAATCATCAAAAAGTACAAGTTCCAAGAATTACTGAAAACAAAGTCAGCCACAAATAAAGTAGATGTTTCAATGAATATATTCGTGCTCAAGTAGAGAAGTGGACATACCTGCAGCTGCTGTGTTTTCTGGATCTCTTGTACTGTGCAAAACCATTTTACCCGAAAGTACAGTAATAAATCCACAGAGAACCGAAACAATGCTGCTAGCACTCTGACCAGCCCAATCCTAGAGTAGTGGAGTACAGGTTTAGAGTTTAAACAAAATAGCAACACTGTAACATTGTTGCAAGGGACATTCTTAGATACCTTGAACATTATGGCACTGGCAAAAATTGTAAGCGATGTGAACATGGCATAATAGATTGGAGAAACTACAGCAGTGTTAAATGTGTCCAAAGCCTGGAAATAAAAGCCAAAATGATTCAATTAATTTAAAATTCAAATGAGACCGTTGAAACAACCAAAAGAACACGAGTATGATCTAACTGCACCAAGAATTAGAGGCAAAAACTATGTTGCTTGAACTTGGGTAGAAGTGTCAAACACAGACAAGGATATGGATCTAACTCTTGGGAATTGTCAAAATTTTCTTTGGATTATTACAACTCTATTAGCCAGAAAAAGTATAAACTACAATCTTCTTCAATGTCTTAGAAAAACATCTCTAAGTTCAAGCAAGACTTGATTTCATTGCAATGCTGCAATGACAGGCTGAAATAAAAGATTAACGCATCAATTAGGAAACACAAAATCTCAGGGAATAAGCCACGTCTAGAGCACTGAATAAACAGATGCATCAATAAGTTCTAACTTACACTCTTGAACCGTCTTTCATCATTACCAACAAGTAGAACTCGGATCCTCAAACCTTTCTTTTTCATTATCTTTAGTTACAGCCAACATTGGGTCCTCAAATCTCTCTTTTTCATTATCTTTACTTACTGCCAACATTGGTTCCTCAATTTTCCTAATTTTCACATCGAGGTTAAAAGAATTTATTTTACATCTTAAATTTTATGAACTTGCTTTTGATGCGCGATATAGTCTTGATTACTTTTATGCTTTTACAACGTGTTTCTTTGGAACGATTTCTAACATATTAAGAAAAAAGTTTTAGATATATTTACGAGAAAATCTATTTGACTGGCCATCACATTTGTATGAAAGTTAGTTTTTACTTTTTAGTATAGCATAATAGCTTCCTTATTGGAGCAAATATGACTTAACAAGATTTTAAGATATTTAAAGGGGAGCTGGGGAAAAGGATTATTTTTTGGCAAAAACCAAAATAGATGCATTGAAACCTATACCGATTCTGATTGGGCTAGCTCTATTGATGATATGAGGTCTACATCCGGGTACTGTACATTTGTGTGGGGGCAATTTGGTGACTTGGAGAAGCAAAGAACAAAGTGTAGTAGCTAAAAGTAGTGGAGAAGCAGAACTGAGAGCTTTAGCACATGGCTATAGTGAACTTATTTGGATTAGAAGGCTTTTGGATGAGCAACAACAGCCATACTTAAGACCCATCCATAAGTATGGCTCATAATCCAATTCATCACGATCGCACCAAACATGTAGAGATTGACAAACATTTTGTCAAAGAAAAGATAGAGAGCGAAGATGTTTGTATAACATATGTCCCATCCAAGAACCAGGTTGGAGACATTTTTACAAAGGGATCTAGCAGGCAGATGTTTGAAGACTGTGTGAGCAAGCTGGGAATCATCAATATTTTCTCTCCAGCTTGAGGGAGAGTTTTGAAGAACAATATTTCTGTCATAGTTGTAATCTTACCTCTTATTTTCTAGAAACAGGATTTAGATTAGGTTGTTATTTAAATTTGTATATGTATATCCTAATTTTCTAGTATTTGTTATGATCCTTTTTTGGTTTGTTACTTCTGCAAACCTCTTTAAATTGTGGCATTATCAATCAATAATATATATATATATATATATATA